CCACCACCACCACCACCTCCCTCCTTCCTCTCCAGCCCCCCACGCCTGTGTTATCTCCCTCTGCTTTTCCACAGTTCATCATTATCTCTCTTTGAGCTCCCACCTCTCATCCATCACCCTAAGCTACAGGTTTCCCTCATATTACTGCAGAATGGGCCTTCATTTATCAAAGTGGAACACATGCACGCACGCACACTCTGGTGCATACGAGTGCGTTTGGACGCACATTCGCAGGTGCGTGCCGTGTGGCAGCGAGCTGTGGTATAATTTGACCTTGGTGTTGTTCTCTGTGTGTCTGCGTGTGCGTGTTTGCCTCTGCAGACTGGAGTGCCTTGGCCTGGGTTTGCCTCATCACACTGAACCTGTACCTCAACCTGGTCAGAGAAATAAGCACCAACAGATATGAGATGTAAGTAGAGAACTTGAAATAAAAATTGTTGTAATTTCTGCAATATTTGTGTTTTTAAATGTCATTTTGTGCAACTGTAAAATGCACATCTTTTGAATTCATAGTGACAGAAAAGCAACAAATCCTCACATTGCAAAAAGGTGGAAGCTGAGAATTCAATTTGCTTCTGCTTTAAAAATGACTTATATACCTACCTATTAATTAACCATTCAATTATTGCAACTCTAAATGAACCGCACGTCCCACGTGCATACAAACAGGTTGTCCTTCCTTTACGCGTCCGCCTCTACGTCTGCCTTTGAATGTATATTTCCATGCGTGTGTGCATGTGTTTGGTGTGCCAGAGCATGTGTCTCCCCGCGGAGCATTGACAGGCCCCTCCTCCCCTTTCTCTGTTCCAGCCAGCCGACACTCTAATTGAAAAGGGAGTGAGTGTCAGCCGTTAAGTGTGCATTTGTGTGTGCGTGCGTGCGTTGCACACCCCTCTTCACGCTTTGTGGCTCCGTGTTTCCGTCGCTCAAACTCCCATGAGCGCTTTCCACAGCACAAGTGTGAATTTGTGTGTGTGTGTGTGTGTGTAATATTTTTGCATTTTCTACGCCTAGTGCAAAGCTTTGTGACACAATCTGAAAAAAATGTATGCACTCTGTGGGCCGGTGGGGGGGAGACAGATACGAGGCATCTCCGCTTGCTGCGTCAAGTCAAGTTGTTCATGGTTGTGTCTTGTCGGGGTGTTTCGGTGGGCGCAGACCGTTCCCACCCCTTTCTGTGCGTGAGAGGTTGCGCCATTAAGGGAGGTGCACCACCCCCTCGTGGGAGTTTTCCTGCATTGATTAGCGATAAGCCGGACGATATAATAGCGGCATAACTCATATGTGGACAGCTTTATGTGCGCGGGGAAGCGGGCAGACTAGGAGGCCAAAATCAGCCCGCTCCAAGAGCCTTATCAGCTGCACACCTCTTCTACGTCCAGAGGGAGTGCAATGGGAGGAAGATATGTCTGTGTTTTCGTGCCTCGTCACACATGATGCGAGGGAGGAAAAAGAAAAAAAAAATCGCAGCGCTTTAATAGGTCAGAGCGAAGCAGAGACGAGGTGTCAGTGGGGCTGTCATGTGTTGACTGTGCATAGATAAGCTTATGTGTTTAGGCAGGCGGGTATGTGGCTTTGCATGCATGCACAATTACCCCTCGGCCTCCTAACCCAACGTCCCACCCTCACACACACACACACACACACACACACACACACACACACACACACAGAGCGACGGCACAGCGTGATGGTTTATGAATGAACAAATCGCCAGAGGAAATGCAGAACGGGAGGCTGGATGATCTAAGAATGATTGAAGTGGATGCAAGAGAGGATGTGAAGTGCACGTGTGTGTGTGTGTGTATGTGTGCGCGTGCATGTTTGTGAGTATTTGAATCCAGGCAAAGTGAATCTGTTGTTCGTTGAGGGAGGAGGGAGAGAAAGTGATGAAGCTGAAGACGGAGAGAGAGAGAAGAAGAAGAAGGGGGGGAGATATAAAGAAGCGATGTGAGAAACGAGATTGAGCCTCGAGAGAGTATTTCTATACGAGCTCGTGTGTGTGTCTGCACGTGTGCGGGTGTGCGTGCAGGTGTGTGAAATGCAGAGCACATAGCGGTCCTGCTGTGCCTCATTAAGCCCATGTTGCGCGCAGCTCCGGACCTCGTCATCTCCCTCTCAGAGCACTGCGAGCGTGCGGTGTGCGTGTGTGCTGCTGCTGCTGCTGCTGCTGCGGCGGCGGCGGCGGCGCGAGTTGCCGGCGTAAATGTGTGTTTTGTGGGTCTGTGAGCTCTCGACATTGATTTCCTGACAAACCCCCCGTGCACCAATCGGCACGCCACCGACTGGAAGCACTGATTTCACCATTTGTATCTCTCCTCCCTCCACCGCGCACACTTTCTCTCTCCCTCTCTCTTTGTCTCTTTCTCACGCGCTTTCCTCCTCTGCTCTTGCGCTCGCTCACTTGCTCGATCGCTCTCTCTCTCTCTCTCTCTCTCTCTCTCTCTCTCTTTCTCTCTCATTTTCAGCGCTTTCTCTTCCCTTTCTTTTCCCTTCTCTCTTTCTCTCACGCTTCCCCTCGTGTTTCGATCTAAACACGAACTCTCTCTGGATCCATGCGTTTAGTATGCCTCTCTCCCACCTGCTACTCTGTTCCGGCGGCCGTCTCTTTCTCCCCACGGGCTCTCGCTGCTGTCCGTCAGAGGGAGGTCAGGGGAGGGTGGTTGTACAGTGTGATCCCGGTGAAATGGAGTGACAAAGTGTGTGCGTGCGAGTGTGTGTGTGGCACGCAAGTCGAGTGGGATTGAGTGTGTGTCAGCCGTGTCACCACTGCTCGATTGACCGTACTTGGAACAAGTCAGGGCAGGACTTCCACTCTATTGACCAGGCGACGCTGTACGCTCTATAAAGTATCGACTCCCACACAGACGCCCAAGACACCGGAGCACACACCTCATCTGTCTGACACACACACACACACACACACACACATCTTAGAAGGCTATGATCAGCGATAGCCTGTGTGAGCCTCTCCAGCCATCCTAACCTTCTCCCTTTTAAAAGCGCTCCATCTTTGCAGTTCAAAATCATAGCCAGCTTTGGCCTCAAATGCAGCTTTCACCGCTGAGCGAGAATCCGCATCCTGTTTGTGGTTTTGATGCAGACGTTTCCTCTGAAAATCATCCTTTCCCCAACAGTTAGGGTAATTATGGTTTATATTACCATGAGTAATTGGTTGTCTAGCTGTATAGACATTTGTCTGCACCTGAAAAATGACCCGATGCTAGTGCCAACAAAGGGATGAAGTGAAGAAGAAAAGAATTGATTTATTTATAGGGGTTTTTTTCTTTTTTTTTCTCAGGGGCAGCGCTGCCTGCTCTCTGCGCTTATAATGAAATAAATGTCTGCCTTTTATCAGGTTGTACCATCTGATGGCGTGGGGGGTGCCTTTGGTCATGGCCTCTTTGCCGCTGCTCAAGGGTTACTATGGCGAAGCAGGAGCCTGGTGGTGAGTTAAAAACCAAACCGTCCGGATACAGTGTCACTTTTTTTTGGTTTGTTTTGTCAGCTCGTGGCTATTTTCTGTTAAATGCCTTTTCTTTCTAAGAAGGCCACAGCACTGGCCTCATTCTAGCTCTAGACAGGCTCGCACCTTCATAAGAGTTTATGTGATAAAAAATTGGCAATTATCAGCACATCAGATCACAGTAAAAAAAACGCCTCCTCACCACTCTCCGCTTCTCCTAGTGAACAGAAGAATGTATTTGTTTGCTTGGTAGTTAAAGGGGTGAGGAAAAGGGGAAGAGGCCGAGGAGAGGAGGCGGTGGAATGAGAATTGGGACAGAGCCTTAATCTCCGGGCTCGGCTCTCTCTTTCCACTCTCGGCTTATTAATAGCTACAGCTGCACAGCTTTTCCCCTCCGCAGTCACACAAGTCTCTCTTCCGCTCACGCTCTCCCTTTTCCTTTGTAACCCCCTCATCTCTCTCTCTCTCTGTCTCTCTCTCTCTTTCTCTCTCTCTCTCTTCCCCCAGCTGGATCACAGACAATCACGTAGCCTGGAGATTTGGGATGTAAGTAGACCCTTTCAGCGCCGCCATCAAAGCTTCCCTCACTGGGGGAGACGGGGGAGGAGGGAGGGAGGGAGGAGGGCTGTCTCTGCGGGGAAATGTGAAGGGTTGCATGTCAGGGGAGCCTGCGGGGTTTTTTCCCTCTTGGTGCAAGGCCAAGGAGTGAGTGTGTGTGTCTGTCTGTGCGCGTGTGTGCGTGTGTGTGTGTGTGTGTGTGCGCGTGCATCAGTGCCTGTGTCTGCCTCTGCCTTGTCAGATTTAGGGGAGTTGCTACTCTGTGTATTTAAGTGTTTAGGACGGCTATGAAGGATTATGCCTGTCGACTGCTTTCTGCAACTGGCCCTAAGTCTGCAAGGGCTCTGCCAATCCCCTGGTGCAGACGCTTAAACACACACACACACGCACACATGCGCACATCCACACAACAACACATCGCTATGAGCCAAGGTAATCGTGTTGCTGCTCGCAGCATCAGCAGGGAATCAATCTTTTTAAACAAATAAGCACACACACACACACACACACACACACAAACTCACACACACATATATAGAACAACACATAGCTATCAGCTGCGCTAAACGAGCTTGTGTCTCTTTTATCAGTGCTCCTCTGCTCCCCGGCTCTTTCTAGTTTTCCATGCTGTCGTGGCCCAGGGGGACGAGCCGCTCAGAGGATCAGGGAATCTTCATTAGCTCTAATTACATCAAACCAGACGAGAGATTAGAGGCCAAGGCAGCACCCGTCAAGGAAAAAAAAACCACATACGCAGTCGGCTGACAGCTTGTAGGAGGGCAAAGGTTGCGGTATTAAAGGTGAAAAGTGGAAAAGGTGGGAGGGGAGACATACGTGGTACAGTTAGAGAGACAGGGAATTACTCAGCAGGGGAAGGAAAGAGGGGCGGCATAGCGGGACGGGAAGGAGAGGGGAGTCGGAGAAATAGATTGTCCTCGTCTCTGCCCACGCCTCGTAGTGTGTCTTCATCAGAGTTCAGCGAAGCGCGGAGACAGAACAGAGGAGGCAGGGGAGGTTCGGAGGAGGAGGAGGTGGAGGGTGTGAAAGGGGATGAAAGAGGAAGGAGAATGAAAAGCAGAGGACAGCGCCGCGAGATGAAGGTGCAGAGTTTCAGGGGTTGAGTCAGCAATTGGAAGCGCTCGAGCATAGCTGAGTCACCGCTCTTAGAGGTCCCCATCGGTGTGCATCATGGGCCCCAGTCAGACATACCGCTCAAGTACAACTGCGGAAATGACATTCGCAAATGAAAGCATATAATTACCGGGACATTTTAGCCACATCGCTGTAGGGATAGCAATGCAATCAGTCTACCACTTTGGTCCCAGATTGAAATCTCTCAGTATTTGCTCAGTAAATTTGCAGAAAATTTAGCAAAGGCTTTCATTGTACCCAGAGGATGAATCCTTAAAACTTTGGTGATCCCCTGCCTTTTCCTCTAACACCACTGTGAGGTTGACATTTGTTGCTTTCACTGAATTGTGTTGACATCTTTAGGAGTAATAAAATTTGTAGACATTCACGTCCCCCTCAGGATGAGTTGTAGTAATTCTGGTGAACTTTCAACTTTTCACCCAGTCCCATCTTGAGATCAAAATTTCAGTTTGTCACGAATGATGAACAAGTAAATAGTGAATATTAGCGTGCCAGCTGTCTAAACTGACTTTGCAAAAATCATACCTGTTAAACCTCAGTATTTTTTATACGTTTACATGTTGGCAATAGCCTTTTATTCAAAGCCCTGTTCTGCAAAAGAGCAACCTAACAGAGCTGCTAGCGAGGCTATAGGTTCTTGTTTCGTATGTACATTTACATTAGTTCATCTACTGAGACACCAGCCTCACCTGCACACCCTGCCTTTCCTTCCTGTTTCTGTGTCTCTGCCTCTCTTTCTGTCTCTCCGGTTGTCCCTCCCTGTGTAAGTGGTTGAGCAGGTAGATCGTGATCTTTCACTCTGCGGTAGGATCTTGTGGGTCAAAGTTAACGGCTGTAAGCCGAGCACTACCCCGCATAGACGTGTGGCTCTCAAGCTCTCATCTTCTACCAAGCACTTCAATTAAGGCTTCTTTCATCCGGGCCTCATTCTTCACTTCAGAGCGGTGCTGGAGGGAAGGCCAGGCTAAGGCCGAGTGATTGAATTTGTGCACGTCTGTGATGATCTTTCTTTCTGTCACTTTCAAGCTACCCTCTCTTGCTCACTGTTGTCCTCTCAAAACCCCTCTCTGGTTATCGGGATTTCTGTCTGTCGTTCCCTAGCCGATCTATTTGGTACAGCCTATTTCTACTGTTTCTTTCATTCCAATCATGACCCGATCCCTATCCCTGTCTTTTAATCACCCGGAGCTTCTTTCTTATTTCTGCTCTTACTGGTCCTAAGCCACAATCGGCCGTCATCCATCCACCTTTGCATCCTCACCTCTATTCATCTCCTCACTTTTATCATCGTCTGCCCACTCCGAATCTTCTCTCTCTCTCTCTCTTTCTCTGTGCTTCTATTTCAGCCTCTCTCTTTCTCCCTCTCGCTCTCTCTCCGGGTAGTGCTCAGCTGTAGAGCACAGCGGACTCTAATGGCAGATCATTATCATGCTAATTAGAGCACTTTGTAGCTGCCGCCCGTCATTCTCTCCTCCTCACAGCCCCCCACACTATCGTTAAAAAGGCCACCCCCTCCTTTCCCCTCTCCACCAACCCGCCCACCCCCCGGCTCGTCTTTCCATCATTAACGGGACGTGCGCTGGCGTAATTGGACGCTGTTTATTCCGGAGAGCGGGTTATTAAATCACACCGAGGTGACGCTCGCACAGGTCTCCCCCTGAAACGCTTTCATCATTGTCCCATGCCATTATTGAACCTGCGTTGGACGCGCACATACACATTCAGTCACACGCGTGTTCAAAGGCAGGGAGTATCCTTTGTGTGTTGATGTTCCCTACAAGACGTGAAGGCACAGGATGTAAAAAAGCAGCCTTTCCCTTTCCCTGTTTCTGAAACAAACGCCTACCATCTCAGACTCCCTTGCCAATAAAAAGTTTAATTTGATAATGCTCAGTAAGTTGCTTTCAGTCCTCAGGCATGGAAGGCAAGCATGGGCAAGCTTAAATTAGGCCAAGGTCCTAGGATTGGCCCTCTGAGATACTTCTAAAAGATGCAGTTTTTAGCACGCGTGCCAGAGACTTTTCAGGCACGGTGTTGGACATTTATTCTCACTCCATTTCCTTTTGAAAGTGTGGGTCCGTGTATTTATGTGTCAGAGACGGATGCAGATTGTGTTTGTTTTAAATGTCAGTTGAACATTTTTCTCCCAGATCATGATTAGCGCCATAATTACTCTTGGAAGCTTTCCTCTGAGTCTCCGGTATGTTTATCACGTAGGTACGTTTTACCAGTGCCAGGTGCTCGGGAGGAACTTGCAGCACAGTCGAGGCTGCTTAGAGTTACCGAGGCTGAACAGAGAAGTGGTGGCCAGGAACCTGTCTGTCAGCGGGAGACAAAGACCTGTTTTGCGGTTATAGGGAGAGGTTGAAACTCCTCAGAACTTACATCACCTCCCAAGAGGTTGCATAACACAACGCTGCCAATTCAACAAAGCCATCACCCTTGCTCGTCTCACCTCTTTTTCATGAAATCAGAAATACCTGACATGTCATTCTCTTACACCTCTCCTTGACTGGCAACCCTTCATCCCACAGGAATGCTATGCATTTCCGGTATCTTGTGTTTGCTAGCGTTACCTCTCAACTGACTCAAACTATGTGCAGTAGAGTCCAGAGGTGCTTAGTCAGGTCTTTTCCACTCTGGCTCTTTGTGTACATGCTGTGTGTCTGCTATGCATCACCTGTTTAGAATAATCCTCTCCTGTTTCAGGCAGCAAAACAATCTCCCTTCTTTAGGTTGAAAAACAACACTGACATATCACCTTTTAAGTTGACCAACTTGTTGGCAAACAGCTGCTTTTTTAAAATCTGTCTGTAACCGAGCAACACTATTATTAGAGTCTCCTGAATGTAAGTCAAATACTCGCTCTGTATTAGTTCTGCTTTGGTCTCTACCAGCTCCTCCGAGTAATATCTGCCCCCTTTAGCTGCTAAATGCGCCACAGCTAGGTGCTAACTATGTATCTCTACATTTTGGTGCTGAGCAAGTAGTGTACTGTGGGGCTTCGCTGAAAATAGTTGCCTCTTGCACCTGAAAATGAAGCAATGAGAGAGAACCAAAGCTGTGAAGTTGCTGAGCAGACAACTAACAGGCTGAATCGCTCTGCCAAGCTGCGCAGAGCAGAGCAGCAGACAGGTGATAATTTCTTGTAGGTTCATCACCGCAGCTCAAATTGTTTTCACACTTTCATTTGACACATTGCAATAAAAATATTGATTATAGCTGCTTAAATAGGCCGTTTAGGGTCAGCCTCCTCGTGGTCAGTGACTTTGCATTTCAATCCGAGGCGTTTTCAAGCAGGCCATTAGCAAAGTGAGGATGGTTTCATGTTTAAAAAAGAACTCCAAGATAATTTAAAGGCTGAATAACAATGATTTTAAGCGAGGCGTCACCTGAGAGCCGGCTTTTGTCCATGTCTGCACCAAATCTCGTTCCAACAACAATGTCCTTCTCAGATTACCGCCCTGCAGAGAGAATCTTATTAAATGAGAGCCTGTGGTCTAATGTCTAATGTGTTTGGACGGCCCTTATATCAACACACTGGACACTTAGAATGCTATTACATCTTATTACAGTGTGAATTCCTTTAGGATATATGGTGCCGTACTTTTGTATTAGAAATGAAATTAAATCCTGTGTGATTTTTCTTATTGGATATTTTTAATGTGATATCTAGATTTTTCTTTGTCCTAAAGTGTACTCCAGACCTCTTTGTTCCTACTTCTGAAACGGGACAAAGAGGCCAAAGTAACCACCACCACAGACAGAACAACATTAAAGATCTTTCCATAACATTGCTCATTTTGACTGTTCTTACTGGTGGCCTGTGTCTGTGCTTCGCAGATGGTACGTGCCTCTTTTCAGCCTCATCTTCCTGATGATCTGCTGCTACGCCAGGATCATCTACGTGGCCAACAAGAGAGTGAGTGTTTAACATACGTCCATCCCAAGACACTGACAGCTTAGCAGGATCTAAATCCAGTATGAGTTCGTGAAAGAACGTCCTTATATAGGCCCATACTTGGGAGTGATAAATCTTCTCACTGAAGTAGAAATTTGAAAGAAAATCCACCAAAACAATGTGCAGAAAATATGCATTCCTGCTGAAATGATGCTGGAGTGATAATCAGTATTCATTTAAAAGATAAATCTGGTTGATTTGGTCTTATTTTCACACATTTGTCCATTAGTTTTATCAATAATCATATCATTGTACTAACCCTGGCGACAGGATCATGCTGACAACTCTTCAGCCACGTTTGATGAGGCAGAAAACACAACAATCAAGAAAACTAGACAGGTTGTAAACACTTTACCCAGTTTGTCAGAGCTAATTAATTTCGAGGTAAAACTGAACCACTAGGAATTTAGATTGTAAACTGTAACACTTGGTTACAGCAGGGTTTGGGTGGTTATTTTGTAGCTGCATGCATGTGGACAAGCTGGGGATTTGCTCTGTTTATTGAAATGACTACAGCTAGACTTAGATTTACTGGGTGAGGGCCATACAATGGCGTAATTGCCAGCAGGAAAAGAGGTCAAAACTATTAAACTAAGACACAGCTTGCAATAAACCTGAATCGTTTTTTAAAGCTACTAATTATTCATCTCACTCATCTAGCTGTTTGAGTGCAGAAACATGTATGTTGAAGTGTGTCTGGGGTCTTTTTTCATACTCCTGTCAATGTCAGAAAATGTAGTTCTAACACTACACACAGTGATGTAAATTAATTTCTCTGTCTGATTTTGAAAGGTCTTCACCTTACTATATGAAATGCCTTGAGAAAACATGTTGTAAATTGGCGCTATAGAAATAAAACGGAATTAAATTGATTTTATCAAGCAAGAATGTCCACTTGGTGCAGCTAGTCAAAGGTGTTATCCTATTTTTGTGCTTTATGTAACCATTAAATAAAATGCATCACATTTTTGAACTATTGAGGTCATCAAAACAAGCGGTTGGAGGATGTCACCATGGCCTCTCACTGTTATATTTTTTTAAATGGCTAATTATTCAAGTCTAAAAGCCCTGTGTGTATAGACAGTGTTTTTTTTTTGTCATACTGACAGACTCCAAAGTCAAAAACTGTAATTATAACTGTATAAAATGGCTATAATATGTTAATCAAGCAAATCATTCACTTGGTCGGGCTACTTAAATGTGAGGATTTCCTGTTTCTCTCTTATTTTTCATGGGTTTGTGATTATAAATTGACTTTTTTGGAAAGTTGATTGAGCAACAAGCCATTTCAAGACTTTCTGTGCATCCATGATGAGCATATTTCTTTTTTTTTTTTTTTTTGGTAACATTTTATGCTTCAAATTGTGTAGGTAATTAGTTGATTAACCGATTTGGCACTGAGGCGATGCGCTCTCTAGGCAGGCTTGCAGTTTTGTGTGGCCTTTTCATTGTCAGCTAGTAGGAGTCCAGAGGCAGCATTCCACAAAGTTCACATAGCTGCCATTCCCCTGATCTGACGACACTGCACACCGCAGCCGAAGCGCCACTCGAACGGCGCCGGTAGGCTTGTGTCGCTACAATATGTGTGTGGGTTTTTGATGTGATTCATCAAATACAAAACAAGAGTAAGGGAGAATCAGGCCAAAGCCTCATCAGACTCACAATGAGGTGTCATCGCGAATGTTAGCATTCTTTGTTTGGGCGGCAGAGTGAATGATGGAGGGAGAGAGATTTCGCAGATAGCCAGGCTGCAGCGAGACGACAACAGAGACAGACAGCAGGTAGCTGAGGGCCGGGGGAAGGAAAAGAGACTACACAGCTCTTTGCCACGACTGTGATAAAGAGAATGAATGAACGTAGCTCGTTTTCACCCTGCATCTCATAACTCATTCAGCTCACAGCATTCAGCTATCTCTCCCTCTTCCTCTCGTCTCTGTATCTCTGTTTTCCACCTTTGTTATTTTCAATCTTTTCCTCTTTGCCTTTTTGCATTCATCTGTCTCTCTCTTTCTCTGTATCTGTTCCCACACATTTTCTCTTTCCTCCTCTTTTCGTTTCTCCTTCCATGTCTCTCTCCCCCCTTCACTCCGCCGTTTTGCTTTCTCTATCATATTTATGAAGAGCTCAAGCCTTATCTCTTTTCAGCTGCAGGCTGTCTCACTTGAAAGAATTTCAAAAGCTTTGAAAGCAGGGTAGGTGGCGACGCAACGGAGAAAGGGATAAAGAAGAGGAGGCTGAGCGAGGAGAGGTGGGATGTTGGCTGGACGGAGAAGTTTTTCCACTTTCCGGAGACAGATAGGGGAGAGGGAGGGTAGAAATGATTCCGCAGATCATGGGTTTACTAAGACTAAGTCATTTACACCGGGATTATTTACAGAAACATGGACACATTCTGAGTGACTGTGTGAGCTCATACTAACAAGAGGGATTTGAAAGCTAATGAGTCATTTCAGGCCACACAGAGAGGTCTGGGAGCGCTGTGGTGTGTTTGTTTTACGGATGCGCTTTGTACATGCCCACTCTTTTCCTTCCAAGCCTGACGCCTCAACACTTAACTGGCCCGAACTGCTCGCCTTTCAGTGGCATGGCTTAAGAGAGAATGCAACAAAAGCCGGGTGGACACTCTGGAGACCTGGCCGAAGCCTAATAATATTGCCACTTATTATCAGCGTTTGTTGATTTTGATGGATAGTGGTGCTCAGCTGGACTGCAGAGTGCTGCCGTGGAACAAGTTCAGTCTAATGACCAAATGGCTGTCTTTCTTTTTTTTTTTTTTCCCCCCCTCCATTGCACAAACACACCATGGTCACACATAGATTTACAGTGACAATCACGTCAGCGCAGAGAAACCATGGCAACATTGAGTTAATAAATAGCAGAACAGAGGAGCTGTTAGTGTATATTGTTCATGCTGCCTTTTTGTGCATGCGTATGAAGCTCCCACGGGGCCTCCGGAGATTTGCCTCTGATGTCTTGGGTTACATAAACCTCCTGGCTCCATATGGCCCCCCACCCCTATCCCACTATTACAAATCCTAGTCTTGTGCATGGATGTGTGTGTAACATGTGTGTTTCTGTGTGTGTCTGTTGACATTTTCCCTGCATTCCCCCGAGAGAGGACACCGAGGAAGAGCGAAAAGTATTCCCACGTTCTTTCCGGAGATCTCAGATCTGCCAAGTTTGCTCCGTTTTTTTCTGTAACACTTTTAAAAAAAAATCTTCTCCCCGCTCTATACGCCTTGTTTTCTTCTTCCTCTGTCATATCGTGTGCACTGGAGCTGATCAGTTTGTGCGAGATGCTGGGAGCTGTTTAAGTGCTCCCTTCTGCCTCTAAGCTCTGCACTCTGATGTGAATTAGGCAATTTTGCAGGACTGTGCGAGAAGGTGAAGGGATTTTGCATTGGAGTGATAGCCAACGCCATATTTGTTCCATCTTGTCACTGCAGGCACTGACCTCCTCACAAAATGCCACTCCTCTGTAGGGTTTGAACCACCTGATTGAAAAGAGGAAATCACTTCAGTTTTTCCAAAGTAATTGCCCTGACCCTTTCTTTCCATTTGGTGTCATTTCTGCACAGATGCAGTCTTGGTTGGGAACCTTCAACCCAGAGAGGGAAAGACGTAAGGTAATGGTTTGACCGTCACATTTCTCAACACGTACACACACACACACACACACACACGCACACATGCACGCATACACTCGGGACGTGAGGATTAGAGTGTCTGTGGGATTAGCGCTTGCCGTCACACTGGGTAGGTGTCAAACACAGCAGGGAGCAATTTGACCTCTTGACTCTGTTCCTGTGTGTGTGCTTGTGTATGTATATATAAATATGTGTATGCACACATAGGTGCATTTAAATCCTGAACCTTAATGAATTAGCTCAGAAAAGAGGAGCAAGAAGGAGGAGGTAAATTCTATTTATGCCAAGAGAAGTCACATTAATAAACAGAACATGAAGAGTAGGGATGTCGGGGAATGCAGACACAGAAAATTAATTGGGGAGAGAGTTAGCCTAGCCTAGCCAAGCCTAAAGGGGCACTCCACTGATTTCTCACATAAAGGGGGGTTGTGTTCGAAATAAATTACTTGGTAAGGCTCGTTGTGTGACCACAGCGTGAATCAGAAGTGTTTCTAGTTGTTCGCAAAAGAAGGTGGCTTTAAAAGCCAGGCATCACAGAGCGACAGGAGACACAGCATTATTAAAATGTGGCGATTGTCTCACACATTTCCAGACAGTCTGTCCTGAAAGGCAGGTACAGTGTTGCACTCACAAGGAAGAGCTTACCAAAAAGCCGCAGCTGGTTGCACAATGAAAACTGTAGGATCGAGTGCGTTTGGCGCTTGATCCGCACAAGTCTGGATATCTTTGTCGCTGTTGCTTGGATTCTTTGTTTTTGCCTTTTGTAAGTACCAAGCTTTGGAAAATTGTAAACGTGCTGCAGTAACCATTTAAGTTAGACAACAGAACCAGAAAACGTTTCTTATCATGGTTCTTACTATGTCATTGCAACTATTTAACTCCAGGTGCTGCACCTCTTTAGTCAAGTGTTCTCCAACCAGATAGTAAACCTTTACCTTCCTGTGCATTAAAATGCCAAATCATTAAAATGTATAGTCTGGAAATCCACTTAAAGCAAAGCCAAAGGTGGTCAGTATACCAGCATGTCTACTGTAAAGTTAGGATTCTAATAGCAGCAATAACTCACTGTCCTGTGCTTATTTCCTCATACCTCCTCCTCTTCCTCCTCCCCCTCCTCCTCCTCGATTGTTGCGCCTCCACCCAGCAGGGTGAGGTGTGGAGGGCAGGTTAGGGTTAAGGTTATGTAGATGCTGCCCCTAAGTGGCAGACATAATTACTGCACTCTGAACTGGCGTAACCCTCCGCCAGTGTCATCGTGTGAGCTCGAATGTGTGGCAGCGACGCACACACTCCTCATGTGGGCTAATTGCTATGTGTAGCACAGAGTGTAAATAAGTCAGCAGTGGTTTTTTATCACACTCCCTTTCCTCGTATTTCTCCTTTCCAGTCGCTCTCCTCATTTCCATCAGTTTTTCTCCCTGCCTCTCACTTTGCGCTCTCCCTCTCTCTCTTTTCCCCTCTGTCTTTCTCTAACGCTCTCTTTCTCACCCCTCCCTCCGTCTCTCTCTCTCTCTCTCTCTCTCTCTTGTACTCATACCCAGCATGAATAAAGCAGCAAGCCAGGTTCATGGACATGAATATTTATGAGAGTTTATGCACGCGCTGCGATGCTTTAAAACAACAACAACAGCCTCCCAGATTGCGCATGCCAAGCCACTGAGCTCTGGTTCATGTGTGCACGATCGTGTGTGTGTGTGTGTGTGTGTGTGTGTGTGTGTGTGTGTGTGTGTGTGTGTGTGTTTGCGAGCGTGTAGCAGCAGGTGTAAACTAGAGAAAGCGATCCCTGCTGGGTGTCTGGGTGGCTCTGGTGATTTCCATTCACTTCGCCACATCTCCCTCCGTCTGCGCCTCGCACGCTCTCTGTTACTGTCACACACACACACACGCATGGACGCTCCTCATGTTTTGTGCTCACACATGTACGTTTCCAGAGTTCTTGATCTTTATGTGTGTATATATATATATATATATAAAATTTTCCCCCTCTCTCCGTGACTCAGACTGGCGTCATCTCACTCCCTCTCGAAGTCTGTCGATGTGTGTGTGTGTGTGTCCGTGTGTGTGTGCGCACGCATCTGGCTGGAGCGATGACGTGCGTAACTAGTGTTGGCAGTTATCAGGGGCCGTAAGTCACATGGTTGTGACCCATCTGTGTGTGCGTCTTGAGCGATTTGTTTGCGGTCATGCATGGGTGCACATGCACACACGAGCGCCACAAGATCTTGCAGCGACACAGGTCAACGAAAGGATATTTGGAAGAAGATTTTTTAAGTCATCCTACACACACACACACACACACACACACACACACGCGCACACACACACAGCAGCTCATTCCCGTCGGGTAGCAACAAAACTGGCTGAGCAAACAGCGAGCCGCTTGTTCGTTATCTTCTCGAGGTGTTTGTTTACCGATACACACACACACACACACACACAAGCTTCGCCTTGAGTAACAATGCGATGTGTCTGCGCACATGCGTGTGTGCGCAACCTTGTATCCCAGCGAGGGTTGCCGCTGCACGCATCATTTAACCTCCCTTTTTATTTATTTATTAATTTTTTTAAAATTTCAAAAGTCGCCGACAGGAAAACTTAGCGAGTTGCAAGGACAGTCGAGTTTGTCTCTCAAGGGCTCTTGAGGAGGACTTGTGGCTTTGACGAAGCACATCTACCTTCTTTTTTCTGTTTTTGGAGGGATCGACTCTCCAGCTGCTACACAATCAGCAGTGCTACTCAACAGCTCTTCTGGTTTCTTGTAAGGATGCTTTCGGATTTCAGGTGTCCCTGAAAACCTCCGTTTGTGGAATGTAGTTACTAATTAGGCAGTTAAAGCGTCTGGGAATATTAGAACATTAAAATGTGGCATCAAAAGGTTCATTGTATTGCAACTGTTTTTGTATCACTTAGTTTGCTCGGGAGCTGCAGATGTGTGGTTTTGCAGAGCGCTTTCAGGATTTGAGGTTGAAAGTTGGAAACAAAAGTTGTTAAAACAGTAATCGATAGCATCTTTGAAAGCATCAGCACCCTGCGATGGATATTTTTGTGTTGATGGTGCTGCAGATGAAGATGATGGTGAAAAATATCCATGTTGGCATTTTAGTCAGTGCATCTTCTCCCCACCCCCCAAAAAATAAAAATAAATAAATAAATAAATCCTTGAAAAGTCCTTGAAGTGCCTTTAGTAAGCCCGATGCTGTTATTTTTAGAGTAAGCTCCTTTTTTTTTCCTCCCTGAGACGAGCGCAGGCGAGGGTGAGTGCTGTGGGTGGCGGAGGGGATGGGTTGCTCCCGATAACTGTCTGTAATCTAGCGTGTGTCATTAACATTGGGACCGCTGCGCCCGCTCCACATAATTACGGTTTCATTCCCCTCTGCTTCCCGAGCAGCGTAGGGGCCTCTGACACCGGAGGACTGTGATTAAAAACACGAGGCACTTTACCCACGCTCTTCCTCCTCCTCCTCCTCCTCCACCACCATTCTACATCCTGTCTTTTTTTGCGCTCTGAAATTCCTCAAATGCCTGCTTCTACACCTAAATTTAAGATTGCTTCATGCGGGTTTTTTAACACTTTTTTTTGTTGGAACAAACACACACAGATGTGCGCTCACAGACACACTCGCAAATCTCATTTTCCACGTCGCATCCTTCATCCTCCAGGCTTTGCCCTTTTCCTCTTTTTTTTTTTTTTCCCCCCAATGAGACATTCCTCCCAGTGCCCACACACGCACGCACACACACGCGCACGCGCACACACACACATTTGGGATGACAATAGGCAGATCTTGACATGGTCAGTGATGTCATAGCTCCCCATAATAACAGACACTAACAGGGCCAGGCTTAATGTTTGCCTCTGGGTTATGCTGTTATAGACGGCGATGTGGAAATACGACCGGTCTCTGCGCTCAGTTGATCACATGCAGCCCGAGCGTTCGGCGGAGCGTTTGGCTCTTGTATTCAATACCCCCTCAGCGCACGCACATAAGATAAAATACCACCAGATTTTCATTTGAATTGTTTAAAATGCCTGCGTTAGAGCTTGCACGCCTCGAGGTCTTTCTGGTGAGTAATTAATTTCCAGCATGTGGGGGTAGAGACCAGAGCTCGTGGGCTTGCCTCCTGGCTCTGACTGTCTGTGTGTGTGTGTGCGTGCGTACGTACGTGCGTGATGTGTGTGTGTGTGAAAAGGAGAAAAGAAAGAAAGAAAGAAAAAGAAGGAAAGGGAGGGAGGGAGGGGAGGCTTTGCGCTGGCTCGGCTGCTGCGTCCTAGCCTCGAGGAAGAGGGGGAGGAGGAGGAGGAGGGGAAAAAAACAGCAAGCGCAGAAAATCGATCCAGGGGCCGCGCTTCTCAGCCTCTTCCGGACGCAAGAGTCCTCCTCTCCCGGGAATTAGATAACGGCTTGTAAAAGCTCTCCACCACCAGGCGCTCCCCCTCCTCGACTTTTAGCTGCTGCATCTCTCCCTCCCGTCTGCCTGCTTTCGTCTGCTTGTCCACGAGATATTGAATTCATCCCCCCTTCACATTACGGCAAAGCTTCCCGTTTAATTGGAATCCCCGTTTTCTTCTCATAACTGTGTGGATATTGCATATTATCAGCAGGTTAATATTTTATTAGGTTTTAATTGGCCTTTGTTGTTTGCCTCGGTGCTCTGATCCGACCAGTTAAGACACTGACTCCTTGCGCGCATGTTTGAGATGTTAAAAAACAACGCGTGTGTGTTAATTGTGAGCGTTCAGCTTCTCTGCGTGGGTCAGTAGTCCGGTTTGTCCTCTCTTCCAGGTTTCCTTGGCGGAGGAGATCAAGCCTTTGAAGTGGTATCCCTCCGTTTACCTGCTCGTGTCCATCTTCCCCCTCAACAACAGGTAACACACGCACTACACCTGTGCGCCACATAAACTTTGCGCTCAGGTGGTTTTATTTGCATCTTGGCTTCACTCCGCTATCTTATCTCTGCCTCACCCGTCCTCTTCCTCTCCTCTCTCTCTCTCTCTCTTTTGCTCTCTCTTATCTCGGAAAGCTGCGCTCTCCCCGTAACACTAAAGGAGGCCGCGCGTGTGTCTGTGTGTGTGTGTGTGTGTGTGTGTGATAGAGGTATAGAGCGTTTTATTGGCTTTTATAAAACTAGGGCTTCATCGGCTGAGGGTTGGCGGGAGGAGGCGTGTGGTCCAGTAAATGATAACCCCGGCGCTGTTATTGCTCCTTCACTCCCTTCTTTCTCCTCCCTTCTTTCATTTGCTACTGCTCCCCCTCCTCCCCCCATCCTCGTCCTCCCTGCCTCCCCCCTCCCTCCCCTCCTCTCCCCGACCCGCTGTGATTGACAGGTCAGGGTTACTAAGTGATTAGCTGCAGCGGCTCTGCTTGTCGCCACGGCGATGTAGGCGGAGACACAGGTCAATTACAGGGTCAACGTCTTTCAAAGGCTCGGCTCAAACACTAGCCTCCTCCACCTCCCCCTCCCCCCCCTCTCTAACCAACCTCCTCACCCCTTCCCTTCTCCCCATTCACCTCTCCATCCTTTCCACTCCCTCCTTCCTCACCTCCTCTCCCTCTCTCTCTGCTGTCAGCTGATGAAGATGACAAACTGCTGCCCCCCCCCCCCCCCCCCCCTCCCCCAATCCCTCCCTTTAATGTCACTTTCGCTTCCTCTCTCCCCTCTTTTTATTTTTTTTTTATTTTACGGCACCAAGTCTTTGTTATTGCCCCCTTATTTTCACTCCTTCTCGCTCGGGCTCTCCATCTTTCTGCTTCTGTGTTTTTATGTCACCCCCCCTCTCCTCCGTCTCCTCCCCCCCTTCCTTTTCCTTTCCTTCCCTTCCTTCCTCCTCCACTTTTCTTCGCCTCAGCCACAAAAAGCCTCTCTCTCTGTCTCTCTCTCTCCTGAGCAAATACGCTCTCGCTCAGCTCCGCTCTGCCTTCCTCCAGAGAGCGAACGAGGAGAAAACGGGAATGAATTGCTCTCTCGTCGTCGTCCTCCCCCTCCTCCTCCTCCTCCTCCTCCTCCTCCTCCTCCCCCGTTCGGC